GGTCTTAAATTTTTCTTTTCTTGCTGTCGATGCTGCTTGCTTTCTCACCTTTAGAATGCTGACAACTCGACACAAAAGTAATAAAAAATGTGTTTAAAATGTCATGAAGATCAACATTTCCAAGCTGTACCCCTGCTTCATGCCCCGACCATGCCACCCTACCATAGCTGAGTGCAGTGACAAATGGTCCCAGGTTTGTCACCCGACCGTATATGGGCTTACAACGTGGCGCGACTAATGCAGCACCTATGCTTCGCGATGGTGCCAGTGAGCGAGGTGTGACACACTAGAGCTGTGCAAGCCACAGCTTTACAGCCTGCAAAGCGTGGGAAGATCCCGCTTTCTTTGCAGAGCTGGCATTAGCTCACTGAGAAGCTATTGCAAGCACTAGAAAGCCACAAAGTGTGAATAAAAGCGCTTCTGAAAATGAATTAGTGTGTAAATTATGCATCTATATGTTAAAACTTAAAAAAAATATATATGTATATATATATATATATCTATTTAAATACTGGGGGAGGAAGTGGCCGACTGGGCTAACGCGTCTCAGCTCGGAGCGTGGAGCGAAAGCTTGCGCTGGGGACCTCCTGGTTTCGATCCCCGCCGCCCCCGCCCATTTCGATCTCGATGAGTTTTGTACCGGCACGCGTTCGTGTGATCACTACTGCGTGATGCACGTTAAAACTCCCAGGTTAGCGGTTGTACCGCACTGGCTAAATTTCTCATCTACAGCTAAGAGACCGATTACCCCTTGAGGCGCATCCCCATCAAGGCTGTATAAACATAAAGAGCAAACCAATTTTTTTATTTAAATACTAAAAAAGGCAAAAAAGAAAAAAAAAATGTTCCCAGGTGGGCTTGCACCCAGAGCTCCACGGCCCTTGAATTCAGTTCCCTAAAGCCCGCTTCAGACGGAACAATTTCGCCCAGCAACTTCATGTCGCAACACGGGCCGCCCGCGTTCACATGCAGCAACCGAATTGCTACGACTGGCCATCATCATCATGAAATTTTATTTTTCTTACAGTATTTAGACGCACAGTTATATCCTAAAAACAGGTTTTTATATCTTTAAAGTGCGCTGAGAATACTAACTCATCTTTTTGAAACAGTTTATTTTCAAAAATGATCCATTTCAAACCAGAACTAAGTCCTCAGTTCTCATCATCACGACCACACGGGTGTCACGTGAAAATATTGCATTCCTGATTCGCTGCTGCCGCTTCAAACATCTCCGAGTAGTCAGAGTTGCTCGTCCGCTTCGAGCCGGACCCGATCTCAGCAATTCGTGTTGATCTAGGGAAAGCTAGAGAACAACCCGCCAGCAGCCCCAAAATTGCTGGAAAGGTTGCCCCGTCTGAAGCGATCCTATACCCTGTTTCATACATAAAGTGCAACGCAGTCAAAGCTAGCGCACCGGTTTGCATTGCTGACCGTGCCTACGTTCGCCCCATAAGATAGTGCGTCCCCCGCAAAAAAATTTTTTAAAAAGTCGGAAAATGTGCTTCCTTGGGGCTAGTAACTGATAGTGGCGTTATAATTTCAACGGAGCACAAATATTTTTCAAGAAAAAGGAAAAGTTAATGTAAACCACCTTAAATTGTTTTCGTGTTCATCCGTGTGGCAGCCGCTCTGGGTTTTCGGGTTGTGTGGCACTGGCTGGTTTTGAGAAGATGGCGTCTAACGCAGCAAGCTCAAGTACCTCTCCTGCTCGGATGTTTTCGAAGATTCGTTGTGCGAGAATCTTGAGAGTGCAAGCAGATGATCGCCAATGTGTACGGGAGTATAAGAATACATTCCCCGGAGAATTCGGTCGTGAAGTCCTGGAGACGGCCAGGAACGACAATGGAGTGTGCCCTGTACTGTCGCGAAGTGCAAGGCGCAGTGCCTATCTGGCAAGGTGTCGTCCCCGAAGCAAAGACCGCGCAACGTGAAAGTTTCGAGCACGGGGACCGTCAAGCATGACGAGTTCACACAGAACGCCATTCGCCTGAAGGTGCATCGCAAATGCTCCGAGAGGGAGATTCCTACCCTTGACAGCTATTTCAAAATAAACTGTACAGGCCACAACTATTGTCGATTAACGTCTTATTATAAATTTTGGGACAAGGCCGCTATCAGGGCGATTCCTCATTCGACGCTGCACGAAAGAAAAATATAACTCGGTGCTGGAGGCAAATAACACTTGCAAAGCGGCAGACCAGACGGTAGAAATCTGGCCTCTCGGCGACTTATAAATAAAAATCAAGAAGGAGGAACTGAAATATGCACTTCGTTTATGCGCACAATCTTGCATGAAAAGTATGTCTAAAAAAGGAAAAAAAAAGAAAAGCTTTGCGCGTCAAATGGGTTTGAACCACGGCCACCGAGACGTCAGTATCGCCAGAGCAGCGCCTTCTACCACTCGTCCACGAAACGCGCGGAGTAACACCATAGAGTAATATAGTAGAACGTAAAGAGTGGCCACTCCAATAGACCCAAGCGGCCCACTCGACTACCAGCGCTCCTAGCGGCCGCCGTGAAATGTTTCTCGACTTCCTGTTTGGATGCTTTCGGTTTCGTTTTTCAACATGGATAGAGTCACAGAATACTATTAGTCAAATGGATGGATAACTAATATTAGTGCTCCCAACTGTATTGTGCGGTAGCTTGCGCCACCAAGGTTGTCGGGACTAACTACAATTTTAAGGCCAGAATGAGCGGGTTGGTAAGAGATAATTAAACTTCAGGAAGAAAACGAGAAGGACGGACAGCCTGTCCCACAAACTTCCAACTATGGTTGTCCGTCCTTCTCGTTTTCTTCCTCAAGTTTAATTCCAATTTTAATTTTAGTTACGGTTGCTAATTTAGAATTTACTTGGGCGTTTGAGCTGTGCATTCAACAACTCAAAAGCACGGTTAAATTCATTTACAAATTCAGGACAGACAGGTAACGAGGTAACCATGTACAATCCCAATATGAAATATAAAACTATGTCACGGAACAGGAAAAACAGGACAACCAACAGAAGGCAGCAATTAACAAATATTAAAATTTTTATTTTGGCCACGAAGATAACCATAAAAAATAGCTACTTTACATAAAAAATAAACAGAAGACTGTGAAAATTATTTTTGCACTTAATTGTTTCAGGACGTGTTACAAAGGATATTTTTCAGAAAAACCTCATCAGCTTTTTTTGTAAAGGTTTGAGGGAGGAAACATCTAAAAGTTCACAACTGACACCAAAGCCGGGTGACCCAATATGAAGATCCATACCCATAAAGAAACATTCAACACGAACACACTAGAAAAAAACACACGTCAAGTGGTTTTGCAGTCGCTAGTGAAGACTGGTCGACTGGTGGCCTGCAACCTGGTCATTACAAATTATACCTGGAAATGCTCGGCGTGCAGTGTGCACCGTTCTGTTAATTACCGTATTTTCCGGACTATAGTCCACACACAGGGTAGTGGTATAGTCTTCAGAGTCCACACAAATTTGTTTGTGTGCCCACACAAACATATTCTCCAAAGTAGCTCGCCGTGTAAAATGCCTGCCTTGTTAGCGCACAAAAACTTCTAGTATCAATTATTAGGGCACAAAAAGACTCTTAGCATAACAAATCATTATTTAACAATCTGTTATCTACAAATTACGTCGAATCTATCATAAGGAACAATCTTGCAAAAACAAATCCTTGTATATTCCACACCTGCAGATTCCCCCACAAAATAAAATTGCAATTCAAAACATGGCTAGCCCGCGGCTCTTGTCTAAACAATGACTCTTCTTGCCTATGTACAAGCTGCACATCAAACTAAAGCAGCAATCGTGAACAGGACCAGGAAAGGCCCAATGACACCCAAGTTGCGTGACCAATGGACAGGACTATGCATAATAGAAAAATGACAACTCTCCCATTCAACATGGCCATACATAAAAATACAAAGACAAATGATTTTGAAATTAGACATTCACCAATATAGCCCGGTGGCCTGCGACCCAGCCTTAAAAAAGTAATACCAAAAATGCTTGACACTCGGTTTGCACTGCACAAATAAAACTTTCTTCGCACCTGTAACACATATGTAATAAAATGCAAAATTAATGCTAAACGCATGTTTAGATTTATGCTACCCTTTAATCTTCACCAGTTGTGCCCCAGAAACGCAAGTTTGGAGCCTAACTCTGCCTGAATTCCGGTTAATAAAGCGTATATGCCAGCCGAGACCTCAGTTTCACATGACTTGACACCAGCTGGAATACCTCCTCAGTGACATGAGGGCGAATCATGGCGAGGGTTTCCGTAGCTGTCTGAGGCACCTTCTGCTCTTGCTTCCGCAGTCTTGTGGCGGCCTTCCTGTAGCTCGAGACCTTGGCTTGAAGACGCGTTATGACGTCCTTAGGTCTCACTGCTGACTTGCGGAAACTGGGCGTGGAAGAGCGTGAAATAGCTAGAACCAAGGAACAGAATATTAGCCAGCTGACGAACAATATATGTGGCCTTAGAGTTGAGCTTGTACACTCAACTCTGCATTATATTTATATAATGTGAAATATCAAAACCTTATATTTTTTTAGTCTTAAACTTTTACTTCATTAATGCCGGTTAACTAAGGATATTCAGAAGCAACACCAACTTCCATTTGCACAGAAGAATCTTACTGATGAAAAGCATAGAGGCATCCATATAGGCAAAGAAAATTAAAGACACTTACAAGCCTCGGCTGATTCAGAGCTGGCAGAGGAGAATGGTGTCACTGGGCTGAGGTCTGAAGGCGCGCCGTGCGAGGCACTGGCCTGCACGAGATCTGCAAGAAGTTGGTTATCGGAAACAAGTTGTTGCTTCAAACAGAGTCGCTTCCTCACCGTGAGCTGCCCTGGACAGTATGACCGGCTAGCTGTCCGAAGGCGTGCCGTGCGACGTGCTGGCCTCAGCGAGATCTGCAAGAAGTTGGTTATCAGAAACAATTTGTTGCTTCAAATAGAGTCGCTTCCTCACCGTGAGGTGCCCTCGACAGGGTGACCGGCTAGCTGTCCGAAGGCGTGCCATACGACGTGCTGGCCTCCACGAGATCTGCAAGAATTTGGTTATCAGAAACAAGTTGTTGCTTCAAACAGAATCGCTTCCACACCAGGAGCTGCCCTGGACAGGGTGACCAGCTGGCTGTACGAAGGCGTGCCGTGCCAGGTGCTGGCCTCCGCGAGATCTGCAAGAAGTTTGTTATCAGAAACAAGTTGTTGCTTCAAACAGAGTTGCTTCCTCACCATGAGCTGCTCTGGACAGGGTGACCGGCTGGCTGTCCGAAGGCGTGCTGTGCGAGGTGCTGGCCTCCACGAGGTCTGCAAAAATTTGGCTATTAGAAACAAGATGAAGTCACCTGCAATTAACAAAATGTTGGACACGACAGCAGCAGTGTTGGGGGTGTAACACAGCAGTCAACACGTTCTGGACATTGAAACAAAACATTTCTAGATTATGGGAAGGTTCGGAGCTAATGAAGCTCCAAACCAATGATACTGAGAAGTGAACACACGCTATTGTGATGCAGATGCGCAAACATGACAGCATCGCCTAAACGTGACCATACCACTGATGCTAGATAGAAATAAGAGTAATGTCAGAGCTTACGAAGCAGCAAAAGTAGAGCTACAATTAAGTCAAGTTTTTTTACTTGTATAATTTGCATACATCGGGAAGTGAATAAAGCATTACCACGACATATCACAGACTGGCAGTGTTCTAGTGGACGAACATTGGGCACTGCTGTTTTTGTGAGCCTCGTTCGTCCAGGGTCCATGAAGTCGTGTACAGTGAAGTGGTCGCTGCACACGTAGTAGCTTGCATATAGGCGCGCCGCCGGTTTGTCCATGAGGTCATGTCTCTTGGCGTACTCGACCCACGCTTTAGACCTGCGACATGTAGTACAGGTATATAAATGCCTGAAGATGACTAAAACCTTAAATTACAAGAGGCGGTTAATACATAGGCCATCGCTGTTTAACAGGAATGCCTCTGTTCCTTCATCACAGATATATAATTTTATTTGTTCCTTCAAAGTTACAGGATGTCACAGAAAGAACAGAAATTTTCAATGACAACTATTTTTGTTCATGATATATTCAGTGAAGTGTTACGTCTGTGCTGATGTGAAGGCAAACACACAGTAGTGTCCTATACATTAGTTTCTCATAAGTACAGGCTATGTGTGAGATTACGAAGTACAGTTTTAAGAAAAATGAAATAGATAACAATTTTACGGCTGGTAAGTGACTGTGTTACTTAACCACCTTAGTGTAGTTTGAGCAAAGGTTCTGTGAGTACTCCAGAGCTCTGGTCCTTCGTCTCGCCTGCACTGTTTTTAATCATCAGTATGCAAAAGAACTCGCCCAAGTTTTTCCCTTACTAGAGCTTTGAAACTAGTTTTGAAGAAACAAACTTTCTGTTTTTTCGCTATGACAGCTGAACAGTCATCCAGTAAGTTTTTAAAACAAAGACAGATGGAAACCATGGCTACTTGCTGTCCCGCGGAACCCGGAAAAACTTTGTTCCCGGTTTCTTGCACGTTCTTCCGTTGTTACCGCACCACGCTACGCAGCAGTAGCTACCGTAGCTGGGCATTTCGACGGCATGCGCTGCAGAAGAAAATTTACAGAATTGGCGCCGTGAGATTTCGATATGCCTGCGAAAAGGGAGCTGGTCATGACACAATAAACTGTACTAATATACAAAACACAAGGTCAAGTTCGTACTGTATAAATCAAGAGGTAACCACGGTGCACGAACAGCACCCTTAAATAAAAAGATGAATTGCATGTTAGTATAGACCAACTCGGACGACGTGAAACCAATGCTTCGGCGCCTTATGATACTATAGTTCCCTATGGTATTCCAGCATACACCAGCGCGCAAGGTGCACCGAATTACGCAGATGATCGGATGCCTTGCTCACCTGTGATTTAAATTCTTTGAGCTGGCTCTTCTCGACCAGATCAAATTAAAAGCATGGTGCTGCGGCATGTACTTTCAACATTAAGAAGAAGGAAACCTCACGCAAAGAGCGAAAAACCCATGCGAGTAGGTGAAACCACACCACATTGAGCGAAGTGTCTCGGGACCTCTCTTTGGCGGCACCGACTCTCGGCCCCCGCAGAAACTGTGTGCTCCATTTCACCGTAAGTGCCAGGAAAGAAACAACTACGAGAGAGAGAGCTCGACGCTTTAAATGAGCATGTAATGCACGCGCGATTGAGAAGTGAAAGCTGGAATCAGCGTCGCTGAAGACAACGCGTACGTGTTTGCAGCGTTAGACGCTTCTGCCCTGCTGCATTTCACGCTATGTTACAGAGAAAAGCGGCAAGCCCGAAAGACGCTGACGCCCAACAGACCCGTGAAACACTCCTCAAGTGGTTGCGTAATAGTGTTTTGAAATGGCTCACCTTTTCCACGAAGCGAACACCGAGAAATCCACGTGACGACAGGAACGACAGGAACAGTGGTAGATTGCCCGAGCCACCGAGCCCAACACCCAGGCTGCCGTTATGGCGGCGTTTTGCCCAAGCGGAAGTTGCAATTATTGGAATATTTTCTCTAACCTTCGAAGCTACTAATAATTTTAAATTTTTTTAAATTAAGATAGAACAATTTATGAACGGTGAAAATATAACAAATGTATAAATAATTCGTCACCTTGGCGCCAGCTGGCGGCTGCCGTGAAACCGACTTCCTGGGCCGCGATAGGGTTCGAGTGGCCACTCTTTACGTTCCACTATATTACTCTATGGTAACACTTTTTCTATTTTTTCATGCGCACCACTTTAGTACCTTTGACAGCGTTGCACGCTAAGTATGAAAAAGAGTATAAGACACCCTATTGTCTGGTACAGAGACCATTTATGAACGCTTGGGTGTTTAAACGATGTACTACACATTTTACAAAAAGAAAAAAAAAAGATATTGGGTGTTTGAACGTCGTACTACCCTTTTTTAAATAAAAAAAAGCAACAACAACAACAATAAAAAAACAAATTTCAGAAGAAAAAGTTAAGGAAACGGAATGTACCATTATGTTCAGTGAAGTTTGGTGACAAGACTCGGGACTCGAGGAGGAATGCAGTTATCCTTGGTGTGACCCCATGCGACTGTCTTGCTGCCTTTGCTGGGGTTTATCTAACTGAAGTACCTGTACGAAAAATAGAACACATGTGCATAACACTCATTATTCACAAGAAAATTTGTCCATGTCCAAAATGACCCATGAAGAAAATTATGCGAGGAATTTTCAGGCTGCGTTGGCCGAGTCACCTCTCGTGGCCAATGTTTCATAGCAACTTTAATTGTAGTGAACAGTTGTAGGGTATATTACGAACAAAGTGCAATTTGGTTTTGTAGGAAACTATACCACACAAAACGACACTTGAATACAGTATGTTGAGGCACCTCTAAACAAACTCCAGGGTTTCATGGAGCCTCCTTCAGATACCTGATGTTGAACATGAAATATGTGCACCAAGGAGTGAGCAAACAGCGACTTCAGATTTGTCTCTAACACCAGCTACACGTCGGCAATGAGTGCAACGCGTAGAAGGTCGTCTAGAAGTGTGCCAAGATGAAAAAGCAAGATGTAACGATATCATAATAAGATCACACCAAAAAGGCACCACTGTGGTGAGACAATCTACGATGTAGAGACAGTAATCGGGAGTCAACCGACGTACGGCCGCGATTTACTTTGCGTTGACTGAAATGAAACATGGCAAAAAAAAAACTAAAAATTAAAAAACGTTTTTTTTTTTTTTGTTGAGCGCAGCCGGTAGCAGAGCAGTTGGGCGGCGTCACAAAAATCTGACAGACTCGCTAGCTTTTCTCAACTTCGTACGGCGCCAGTCGGCACCACAGATGAATGGTCGACACTCTTAGTCTACCAGGGTAGACAAAAGTACGAACTCAGAGCCCAGCGTCGATCGCGACTTTCGTAAAGAGAAGCTCCGGTAACACTTCGGCGACTCGTGAGTGTTAAACAACGCCTCTCGAACGAGCCCACGAATCCAACACGTCGAACGGTTTGCGCCGGTAAGCATGCTGGGAGCCAGGGGGCTGGAGGTTGAATATCCGAAAGAGACGAGGCGCTGGTTTCTACGTGTATTTCGCACATGAGATAACAAGATAGCGAAGCTAGCCGAGTGTAAACACTGACTGACGTTACATCAGAGTACGCGCAGTCCAAATGACGTCTGCAACAGAGCACAGTTAGACGCTTTCAGCAGGGGACGCGTGCGTTCAAATAAGCTGCGATTTCAAAACATCATGTCTCCCTTCTGTCCTTCAGTGTTCACTTTGATCTGTGTATACCAAAGCACCCAATGCTGCAAGTAATAAAGTACGTACCTTTCGAAGCGATTGAAAGTGCGTTGGTTTCACTTGGGGCCCACAAGCAAAGTTCGCGACGAACTTGACGAGCTGTCATCCGTCGGTCCCGCCGTCGCCGCGGTCGCGGTCGCTGCGCAATGGCGCAATCGCGCAATCTCGGCGGCTCGGCTAGGCTTGGCTGGGCCGGCGGGCTCGGCCACTCGGCGGCACGCTCAGCCGCTCGTCTGGCTCGATTGGCTACTACACTGCAGGCAGCGCATGCGCGCATGCGCGCAGGTGCGCCGGCTTGCTGGGCTCGCGGTTCGCTCGCCTCGCCTCCCTTCGCAGTTCGAACTGCCTCCGAAACTCGAGCGCACGAGCTTCCGCGCGCGCGGGTTGACGATGGAAACTTTTCTCATAAAACGAGTCTGTAACGTATCGTTTGATGGCGCAAATGCACGTATTTTTCCCGCCGTTTTTTACAGTGTGAATCTTGCGAAACAGGCGACGAAGAGTGGTGGGTGAAATGTGCTCGTGTGTGGTTGTGGATTTTGTGTACGACGTAGGATTACCCAGAAAGGTGGGTCAATATCGATAAATTTGCGGGTAAGAAGCACGTGGCCTATCAAGCCCATCAATCCTCATTATTTTATCGTTCGAACTGACATTGTCACGTATCGCGTTCGATTTGGGTTCCGACATCGGTAACCTAACTTTTGTTGCAGTAAAACTGCATGCAATAAACATTTGTTTGAAAACGATCACTCCAATGAGCCCGTCGTTATTGGGCTTTCTCATTGAGAGGTAGGTCGCGGATGTCCCAGCTAGTTATTCTGAATGGTTTGGTGGTTGTCTAGCATCTCAAGCGGTCGAGGCTGTGTGTACTGTGTGCCGTACGTACACTTGCGCTTTCGATCAATGTGAATGTATTTGCAACGCGGAACGTTTGTGTTCTGTGTGTATCCACCTCCAATATTGTTCTCTCTCGTATTGCCGTATGCTGTTCTACGATATCATTCACGCGATGTCGTATATGTGGGCGTACCGATATCCACACGTAGCTTCACGGGCGATCAATATTGTGTTACGTATCCTCTTAGTCCGCAGTATATGCCGACATAATTCATGT